AGGTATTATACTATCTTATTTGGTTATATGGGCATTCCAATTAAGTTTCTCATCGACCACCAAGGAACTCGGTACAACCCTAAAGATTTTCACTCCATTTAACATTATTGAGCCAGGAAGTTCTTTTAAGTATTTACTAAACAACATAGGCTATAATTAGTTTTAGCCTATTAGCATTTATCCAGTCGGTAACATGTTGTAAAAGTTCTTGATTAAAGATGTTAACTAAGGTGTTGGCATCCCTATGAGACATAAATAAATTAGAGTCTGCATATAAAGTGAATGGTTAATGCGAAGACGACCTATGAAAATCGTTAATGAATAAAATAAAAAGCAGGGGCCCTAACAGTGAACCTTGGGGAACAACAAATTATACCCGAAGCATATTGGATTTTGTTATCAACTGATGTAAACTGTCTTCTGTTGGATAGGTAGCTTGTGAACCACTCCAAGGCCAGGGGTGGCGCCAGCGGGGGGCCGGGGCCAGGGCCCCCCGTCGGGGTGAAAAAGCAGAATTCGTCGGGGAGAAAAAAAAAATTATTCTACATACTATTTTCTACATATTAGTAGACTCTAAAATCGATTAAATAAGCATTTGAAATCCCTAAATCGTCAGAATTTTCGGGGGCTTCCCCCCACCCCACCCTGGACCACTTTCGTGACCTTTTAATCGAAGCCCGACCACGCCCACTTTTCTTTCGTCGGGGAAATCTGACCCCTCGTTGGGGGTACCGCCCCCCCCCCCCCCCCCCAAACCGCCAAATCCGGGCGCCACACCTGTCCAAGGCCTTCCCCCTTATCCCCCTTACAACATAATAATCTAAGAGAGCATCAAAATTTGTGAAGAATAGTTCAAAGGATATGGTCAAAGTCAGGGAAACTCGATATTATCCCCTTAAACTTACCATCGAGCATAAAAGAAAATAAGGGAATTGCCCGTATTGTTCGGTATTCAGTCACAGAGCGGAAGTATGCAATGGAATAACTCTTGTTTAAAAAAAATCTTAATTCAAATGAATTTCTTACCTGCCAGGATTTTAGTGTAAACGTCATTGGGTTTAGAATCCGATGTGGAAGAATACTTGGAAAGTAAAAATGGTCATTACCGTCGTATATCTGCCCTGTTTCGATGTGTACAATAGAACACTTACTCATATCCTTAGAGCTGTGAAGAAATGATGAATAATAGTCTAATAATATTTTAATTGGCTCTAAACATCGTGAAGAATACTTAATTTTGGACTGTATTTTACCTTGAACTGATACCGGTTTAGCTCTCTATCTTTAGGCCTATATCGTGGTTGCATTCAAGGCGCGCGCGTGAAGGCCTATTGCTTCACTCAATTTGAACGAACTTAATTAGGACTTCCTGCGCACGATTCATGGCCGTGTTTCCGGTTTAGTTGACCGTTAAGAATGTATCCGTTAATTACCATAGGTCATATATGGATACAGCAGATATTATTTTTTTTACTTTCTTTTGGTACGAAGACATCAAGATAAATGTAATAATTTGAAAAATCATGTATTAAAATCAAAATATAAGGAGCAGATCAATAACAACACGGTGGAATTGATAATTAGCGAAATAAATTAATATTGAGGGGTGTTTTTTGAGGTTTAAAAAGACATACGATATCAAAGATGATAATGTAAAAGTCATAAAAATATGGAATGAGAAAACAAGAACAAAGGAATGGTAGAATTTAGAATGTTCGCAGCCTGAACTTCTGTCCTATCCATCCGTTCAACATTCACCTAGTTCCGTCCTTTGTATTTTTTACCCTTCTGCTCTCAAAAGGGGCACGTACAACATTTGATCATTTCATCTCAAGATGTTTATCTAAATAGACCTATATCTTTAATTCCAAAACGATTTGTTCGTCGAAGGCATAATTGTTGTTGTCAGTTTGTAGGCCTATCTGTATTTCGATCTATGACTTGTCACAGCGGAAGTTTGGTAAAAATATAATTGACAACTTAATTGTGTAGGCATGTTGATTGATTTCTAAAGTAATATACCTATTTTACCATGACGATGAGATATTTAATTAACTGTAACACATTTTATAGAAAACAGAAACATAACTTGATTTTGTTTTTAATTCGGATTATAAAAGCAAAACTACGAGCTTTGCTTTCTTTAGTTTAGGGCTAGCAGACTGAATGCGAGACCAACCAACAAAGTGACCACAACACTTCAGAAAAAGTGCAGAGAATAGCAGTAGGCCTAATTGAAAAAAAAAATTCATATCGGAAATATAAAGAACAGCAGAGGCGGAGATGTCAAATGATATCCGAGATCAGTCAATCATCATTTTGAGATTATTAACCTATTAAAATGTGTCGTCGATGTTCCTGATAATATACATCTTAAATATACCGTTTTTAGACTTCATTAAAACCAGTCAAAAAAACTAATAAAAATCAATTAAGGTATTGAGCATTTCAAGCATCAAATCATTTATCAACTTGCAAATAAGACGGATCGAAACAACGGTTTTCAGAGATTTACATTTTTTTTTTTATAATAAAAAGTGTTGAATTGAATTATAAGTAAATTTTAGTATTTATAATGAATTTATAGGAATTTATGAGAAAAATAGGAACGTCATTTAGTTACGCGTCTGTAAATTTGGTGAGAGAAAACAATCATTCTATTTTTTTTTATCTAAAATTAATAGACCAGTGGCGGATCTAGAGGGGGTAAATAGGGTGGCTAGCCACCCACTTTCGGTTACCGTGAAAAAAAAATAGGGTCACTCGTCTTGTGTGTGTGTGTGTGTGTGTGTGTGTGTGTGTTTCTCCTGCATGCATACAGTATTACTTGTGGTAGGCATACTTTGGTTTAATTTGAGGGAATTCCCCCTCCTAAAAACATTCGCACCTCACATTATACAATGTGTATACAATGGCTCGTGTGCACTATAAAGAACCCAGAATATCCTTCGAGACGAGTAGGGGGATACCCCGGTGTACTGGAACAGACAGCCCCTGTGGTGGACGGGAGAGGTGCTGGTAGGGGCGAAGAAAGTCATTGATCGAGTTTCTAGTCCACATATCAAGCACCCTGAGCATCTTACATTAGATGGATATGTGCGCCATATAAAACTACACTATTATTATTATTATTATTACATTATCCACCCTCCCTCCCCCTCCCCCGATTGCCAAATCCTAGATCCGCCACTGAACTCAGGGATCATGGTGGACGGGGCCACTCACCCAACCTTGATTCCACCCAGTCTAAAGCTAATTTCATGGCCGGCCCTCCACCCACCTTTGTTAACCCCCTTGCCCATACTTAAAATCCACTCTTATAATTTAGATTTTAAAATGTGATTACCCACCCTCCGATGATGCCGTCCAAGCAAATCGTAAATTTGTTGTCACAGTCATTGGAGCAGGAAAAACTTCGAATATGATCACAGCAACTTCCATCGTAATCCTTGCTTTCCGGGTTTGAATAATGGTGTAATTTGTAGAATTTTACGGGACTCAAGTTTTCCTTCCAAGAGAGCTGCACCGTCATAAGCCCATGCATAATGGCAGTAAGCCTAATAAATTTAACTACATTAAATAATTCTTAAACAGAATTAATATCATTATTTTTAATAATATTAGTCCTATGAATATAAATAAGTTATCAATTTTAATAATACAATAATGCGCCAATTCAAAGTATTCGAAGATCCAGATTTCGAAAAATTTCGACAAATGCCGGTACTTTTTCATGTTAACAGCACAATGCAGACGAAGCATAGTGAACTGTCGGAACACAGTACTTCCCCAGAACAGATTTAAATAATTTTAAGGTCCATAAGAATACTATTTTTTAGAGATTATACAGTGGTCCATTTAAAAGTTTACTTAATGGTTTACTTATGTCATGTAACCGAAGTATTACTGGTATTACATAGCCTAGTATAAAAACCAAAAACCTACCGTTATGTGTGTTCCAGCTTCAATAATCTAATTAAGTATTGTAAATTACATTTTCTTCACATTTAATTATTTCAGTGTGTCGTAGGACCACACCGATTTTACTGAGAAGTCTAACCTGCTGCAACAAATCTGAATAATTAAATAACATTATATAGGGCTGTAATCAAAATAATATTCAATCACTTACATATCAGTGACGCTAATAATGATAAAATGTACAATGGAAGAAAATAAAACCTTACCTGTGAGAACAAACAGACAAGGATGATGGTCTGATGTGATGTTGTTGTACGAAACATCTTGCGGATACTTTGACGAAACACTTCCCGTTTGACCCGCTGTTTGTCGAAGTTTTCCGAGAAGCCTGCCAAATGTCGTTGTGAATTGATCGTGCTTCTCTCTCACTGATACCACTATAAGCTGACGCATATTTCAGGGCTGACGAGAAAGGATGTGTTGCCAAGAAACAAGCGCGACAGTGTCGTTTTCTGGCAAACTTCATAGTTTGTAACCTTATCAGATACTTGCGTATGAGTCAGAAAACTTTGAATTTACTCATTGGTATATAAGTATTGGAAAGGGAAATAAACTGCGCGACAGGTGTAGGTACAATTTGGGTTTCGAGTGGTTAACTGGTTTAAATAAGTCACGCTGTTTAAAAAATGAAATGAAGCTTCTAAATTTTACCAGGTCATGAACAATAGAGTATATAGAAACATAAAAAGTAAAGGCTATCCTTCCTTTTTTCCGAAACGTAGAGCTGAAAAGATTCATAACAAATCAAAGTTTAATATATTAATTTAGTATTTATTTGACAATCGAAGCTGAGGGCTGTATTAGGTCTATTCGTATTTTCTAACATGATGGGGTCCAAGCCTTTAATAATAGACCTTTCCGGAGTGTCAATCAAACTTAACAACTGACTAATCAGAACAGCGCTAGGAATACGCACGCGTCTCACAAACACACGTGTTGTCCCACAAACGCACGTGTTCGCGTATGTTTTAACACTGTCGTCTTGTGGGACCTTAGCAACAATATCCAAGGGGCGGGGCTTAGTGGAAAGGTCCATTATTAATTAATAACGCACAGAATTTGCTATTTTATACATTGTAACTTCTTATTGCGATTCCGATTTCCAAAACAGTGGTAGTCATTCGATTGGTTAAAATTCAGTACACTAATTATGGTAAAACCATGCTAATGGATAGATCACATTGATGATATCTTAAAACAAGTAATAGTTAATTTGATTCGCTTAACGAGACTTAACCAGACTTTGCACCAGCTTCGCAGATAAGTGAATGGCGATCGTTCGTGATCACGTCACATTTGAATTGTAGGCCTAATGAGGACTGAATGTAATTAGTGCATAATTTGGTCTTACTTTTAATGTCTTAACTGTAATATAGAATGTTTAAAACTCTTAGACATTTCTTTATCTTTTTCATTCATTAATTCAGATAACATTGACATGTCTAACCAAGATGTTGTTCTTCGACATTATGGCTAGTCTGTTCCTAAGTCATTTAAAACAAAATATCGCAAGTTATTTCATTGTGGAGGAAATAAAACTGCATTTTTATTTCCAAAGTCAAGTAGGGCCCACGTTTAATAAAAAAAAAACCATCGAGTGTTCAAATGTACAGAATGTGATTTAAATTGTCACATTAAATGCGGATTTTAGATTGTAAATTTTGTCTGTCTTATGTGTATGGCAGCAGTTGACAGACCCGTTGATACCTTTGAAATATTGATAATAGAGAAGGAGCCGAACTTGCTGTTTTCAGATTTTCGACGTGAACTCAAATTCAAGCTATTGCCCACATCGACATAGATAGCCTTTTCAAAGAAATCGATCAACTCAGCCTCTATCATGGTAAATCATAATGTGCAAATCATCGCTATTGCCGAAAAAAAAATCGACGACACAATTTATGAAAATGAAATCCATATAAATGGATAGGCCTATCAACTTTTGCACAGGATCGAAACAGAAACGGTGGCGGTATTGTACTGTACATATGTGAAACTCTCTCTTTTAATAAAAATAGAATTGAATGTGTTTAAATTGAGTACATTTATGTGTGCCGAAGAACCAAATGTGGTAACAAATTAACTGTTACTACATCATATAAGCCACAGTCAGTTACATACTTCGAATCTTAGTAAACCTGCTCGAACTTACAGGTGTAGGCCTACATAACACAGATTATGTTCTTATATTGGATATCTAAATGCTGATTTTCTTGTGCCAGACTGCAATACAAGAAGACTTCAACATATTTTAGATGTATAATCTTGTGCAAATTGTGAGCCAACCCGCACCACAGAGAATACGAAATCGATTATTGATGTTATTACATCGAATAAATACATCTATGTTCAAACAAATGTCTACGACCACTCTATGAATGACCATAATGCTGTAATTACGGAAATAACGTACAAACGTGTTAAAAATAAGCACATTTCTTTTACTAAGACTTTCCCATCCTTTAAGACTTAATGAAGAACTTTTTTTCTTGGGGATCTTAATGAAATAAATTGGAACAATTGAATTGAATGCTGTAACCCAAATGATTTTACTGATGTTTTTTATCATTTTTTTTTTTAAATTAGCTGAATGTCATGCGCTTCCCATTACTAGACGATTACAATCTCAGTTACCATAATAGTTAGCACACACCATAATGACATTCTTGAACTAATGCACAAACGTGAACGAGCTATCTTTCAAGCCGCTCTCTGTGTGTTAAAATCGAATAATTTACTTCCACCTCTAATAAAGTTTCAATGGGGCTCTCACAAGGCTCTATCGTTGGATCCCTTGTGTTTACCTTATTCATAGATGATCTTTCTATTAACATTCTACATTTGACATGTACGCTGACGACACAATACTATACTACTCATCATCATCACATCATACTCTCGAAAACAAACTCAACTAAGATCTCTCATATATTCACAATGGCTAAAAGAAAATAAACCAATAATTAACTGTAAACAAAACCACATAAACGCTAGTTGGAACATAGAAAAATCTTAAATACAGCACCAGTGGCGTTTCAATGGGGCTCTCACGAGGCTCTATCGTTGGATCCCTTGTGTTTACCTTATTCATAGATGATCTCCCACTTTCTATTAACATTCTACATTTGACATGTACGCTGACGACACAATACTATACTACTCATCATCATCACATCATACTCTCGAAAACAAACTCAACTAAGATCTCTCATATATTCACAATGGCTAAAAGAAAATAAACCAATAATGAACTGTAAACAAAACAACATAAACGCTAGTTGGAACACAGAAAAATCTTAAATACAGCACCAGTGGCGTATCTAGAAGTCTTGAATTGGGGATGCTGATTAGGAGGGGGGAGGCGAATGTGAAGGGGGCGAAGGTGAAGTGGGGCTCGATGATCAGTTGAGGGGCGCTAATTAGCAAAATATGGTGATTTTTATCTACTTGACCGCGATTTTTTTGGGGGGTGGGGGACTGGGGCGCGAGTAATATTTGTTTTGGGGGGGCGTGTCCCCCCCCCTCGCGCTCTCCCCTAAATACGCCAATGCACAGCATTATTAATCTTATATACAATGGCACCCCATCTTACAAATTCACACACATTCAGGCATTTACATCGACCTTAATTTAAATGTTTGTACTAATATAAACCAACTTCGCTCGAAACTCCAAGTTTTGAAATTTCAATATTAGCACGCGCACGGCAATTTAAAGACAAACATACATCAACACTGATTTACAACACGATAATTCTTCCACATATCGATTATTGCCGTAGTGTGTAGGGAACCAGGTCGGAAACAAACATTGACCGATTACAAGTCATGCAAAACAAAGCTTTCGCATCATTCTTTTATTCTTTTACGCTCATCCACTCACCCCATAAATCAACATTTACAACACCCTCAATCTACACACAGATTCTGCTCGAAATTCTTCTGAAAATTAATTTGGATTTTCACCGAGGCGTATAGAGAACCTTGAAAAAAAATTAATAAATTAAAAAAAAATGATACCACTTTTCACTGTCGACGCAATGTTGCTCCTTTTGCAGTGCACGGTAGTGGAGCCCTGGGCTTATCCTGGGGTGGAATGTGCTGATGCTCAACACACTGCCTTTGAGTATCTGCGTATACTTATATGGGGAGCAACACTGCCTCGATGGGATAATTGGTATACGGATTTTGTTTGAGATTCTTCTGGGAATTAATAATTATGGATTTTGTTTAATTTTGTGGTGTAATTGACACTGCGCCTTGAGCACCATTGATGGGGATGTGCGCTTTATAAATCTTTATTATTATTATTATTATTATTATTATTATTATTATTATTATTATTATTATTATTATTATTATTATTATTATTATTATTATTATTATTATCATTATCATTATCATTATCATTATCATTATCATTATCATTATCATTATCATTATTATTACTATTATTATTATTATTATTATTATTATTATTATTATTATTATTATTATTATTATTATCAAAAAAGATCATACACATTTTCATCCGGGCTCAGTCTAGATCTGCCAGTGGTCTTGCACCAGACTATTTAGCTCAACATCTTGCCCGACTTCCCAGCAGACTTCCCCTGTAATGCTGGTGTTTTGCAACTCCTCTCCCTAAAACTGAGAACTCCAAGGACAGTTTTGTCTACAAATCAAACTTTTTAAATTCTCTACCACATGAAATTCGAAATACGTCTTCTGCTTTCTCATTTAAAAAAATGTTTAAAAAATTTCTTACACCCAAAGAAAAACCTACAGAAAACTGTCTCAGAAGGTCACCATTCACACCATGTAATGTTTTTTACTTTTGTATATAGGCCTACATATTTCATATTTATTTATTTATATTTTTTCAGTACACTGATTTTAATTGAACTTCAATATTTCAATATATTGGCCGTATTCGACTGGTCGTTCTTCGTTAAAACACCCCACCTGCGCAGCGGTAAAATCCTACTTAAACGAAGACGACCAGTCGATAGAAAACTTGTAAATACTCGACAAAACAAAGTGGCTGCATAGTTACCGCGATACACGCTGTGTAATCAAGTTTGCTTCAGCTTGTGGCAATATGGGATTTTTCTAAAAAAACAATTATTTTCATCCAGTTTTTGAATTCTGTTAGTCTACAATTATTTTTTTACTTCATATGGGTAAATATTATAATTTTTATTTTCTGAAATTTAATCTAAATTTTATTAACGCAAATGTTGTTTCTAAACTCACCAATCGGCCATGTTTGTTTTGGTCACGTGAATAACTTAACGCTGATTAACGCACTCTGGTTTACGTTCATTTTCGTTGTCAACCAAGTCTATTTTACGAACCAGTCGAATGAAAATAATACTCAACGAAAATTCGTAGTCAACGAAATGAACTAGTCGAATACGCCCATTGTTTTATATAGGATTTTTATTTGTTTTGTATTTTGTTGTTTTTTTTTTTTATGCGAGGGCCCCACGACTGTCAGCTTAGGCGCTGTGTTGGGTTACCCTCGGTAAATAAAGTTTAATAAAAAATAAATAAAAACAATCTATGTGTCTTTTCAGTTTTGTTTTCTTCCAAAAAAGTTTAATATAGTAAATAAAAGTAGTTTTCTTTACAATATGTTAACAAAATGAAATTTACAATTAATGTTTTCCATGCTTGAGTAGCTATCACATTAATAAGTGCCTACTACACAAAGTTCTAGTAACATTTTGTATTGTTTCCCCGTTCTTAATTGCATCTTGTTAACTTTGGACTAAAATAGTGAATATATATAGCAGGTTATGAAATTGCACAATGCAATATTTTTACTAACGTGTCGACAGATTAAACAAATGGAAATAATTCTTTAAAAATTGTTAGATAACCAGGCCTAATGAATTTTTAAATAATTGCCAAAAAAACCATGATTTTTTTATTTGTCAGACAAACCATGAGGATTTCTTAAAAGATGGTTTATAAGCAATCAGTGTCTTTTATAAGTTCCATAATAAATCAGGATGATTACCATCAATTAATCAATCAATCAACAAGGATTTGTATATCGACTGCAGAATGCAATGTTCAGTGGCGCTACTACATTATGTTTATTTTTTATATTAAATTATAAACACACGTAGGCAGGCATACACGGAAATGTATACTTTATTAGACCTACTGACGTGACTAGTTTCAAAAGCAAAAGTTACAGTAAAATAAATCGATCTCATTGGCTGATTTTGTATTTCCTATAGACCAATCCAACATGATCAAAACACTTCCATTTGAAGTAGGCCTACTGTTGCTCATCATAGGTTAATTGTGTTTGCATGTGAGCGGCTTTAATTATGATTTCATGTTATTTAGAATCACTTTACGGAAATATTGAAAGGGCCTTGCATTTGTCCAGGATCAGAATACGCTAAGGTAATAGATTGACACAAGGACCTGCTATGTTTGTATTTTAAACTAACTTCATCAAACTATTTTGCAGAACTGTAGGTCTATTATACAACAGTTGTATTATTCACTGTGTGGAGCAAACATTAGCGAAAGGTCAGTATATGCCGGTATTTCAGTCTGACGGGTAAATCATTACAACCACACACGTATTATGTGATACCACTTTAATTGTGACATCTGATGAATATTCAGTGTATATAAAATCTAAATAATGCCATCGTTTTCCTTCTATGTTTATACCATAAATGTTTCGCCAGTGTTATCCGACCCTATACAGATTTATTTAGAAGGAATTACGTGTAATTCTATAATCATTGTGCCAATTTGGTGGGTTGCTGTTTCTTAACCAAGGTAGGCCCGAACTGCATAAACCAACGTTTATTCTTCCTTTCAGAACGTTGACCTTAATCAAAATGGCCAATCTCGAAGCCACAAATTTTGTAAATGAGTTGGACGAGAAGGTACTCGAATGCCCGATCTGTTTCAAGAGGTTAAACCAGCCAAAAACATTAGGTTGCATGCACAGTTTCTGCCTCAAATGTTTAGAAGACTGGACAAACAAAAGCGGAAACACCATATGTCCCATTTGTACTGAACCCTATGTAGTCCCCGAAGGCGGTCTCCAAAAGCTCGTTCCGAATGTTGTCATTAACAATTTACTGGAATATTTGGAACACATTCAGAAAGGAGGGGACAAGAAAACATCATGCTCTTGTTGCGAAGAAATATCTGCTTTATATTGCAGAGACTGCATGCAGTACTTTTGTCAAACATGCATTCACCACCACAAGTCAATATCAACTCTTAAAGGACATACATTATTAACAATACAAGAGCTATGCCAATTAAGCCCACAAGAGAGGGCTTCTTTGAGACCAACTCTTTGCCAGAAACATACAACGCTTCCACTAAAGTTCTACTGCAGTACCTGTTGCGAGCCCATTTGTTTGGAGTGTACTATAATTGATCATAGTCAAGTTGATGGAAAACATCGACTCATTGCTATCAATGATGCTTTTGAAACATTTAGAGTCACTGCTGCCAATATGAAAAATCAAGTGGAAGATTGTACAAACAATCTGACCACAGCTCATACTGCCATGGGAGAGAACGCAGCAAGATTGGAGAAAAACTTCCAGTTATGTGACGAGCAGATTGATAAGCGCATTGGGGAAATGATCGAAATTATAAAGGCAAATGGCGAATCATTGAAGATAAAACTGAAAGATACATACAACACAAAAAAGAAAATAATTGAACGCCAATTACAGGAACTCGGTTTGATATTGAATAACGTATCCGGAAAATGGAACTTGATCCAAACTCTGATGAAGAGTCCGGATGAAGCTGCCGCTTTGTTATCGAACAGAAAATTGGTAAAAGCATTAAAAGAGAAGCTCCGGAATCTTCCTTCCATAGAACCTGTTGATGATGGTGTTATTGAGTTCCTTCAATTTGACAAACCTAAAGCACATGAAAACTTTATTGGAGAAATCAGTACACAGTTAGTTTCAGATGTGCTTGTTTTAAAGAAAGAGGTTGAGGAATTGGAAGTAACGAATGGCCAAAAGTTTTCAATAATCGCAGAGAATACTAAAGCAAAATGCAGGCTAAAAAATGACGAAAATCTGAAAGCAGTGTTAAGATCCCCACTTGATGCTACGGTTACAGGCAGGGCACACCATTTTTATGACGGATTTTACAAAGTCGATTGTCGTTGTAAACTTTCTGGTACTTGGGAGTTCTCGATACTAAATGACGGAGTTCATATTAAAAACTCGCCTATCAAGATAACTGTGAGAAACCAGGGTTTAATTAACACAATCAACAATATCCACGACTACAAATCAAACAAAAAGGATTCCAAGGTAACTGACATCTTACAAACTGGCGACGGCGGCTTTGTGGCAGCCAGTTACAGTCGAGAACTCCTCAAATTTAATGAACGATTTGAGTTTATTGGTAAGGTTGAATTTCGCGAAAATACACGAGTTAATAGGATGAGCAACACAAAATATGACGACGTCTTCCTTTTTAGTGATTTGGGTAACAAATGTATCACAGTCTGCAAAAGGAGTGGAGACATAATCAGAGAGTTAGCACAAGGCCAGTTAAAATATCCAAGAGGCGTTTCATTAAACGAAGAAAAACGCGTAGTCTATTGCACCGATAGTTTGGCACACTGTGTCGTCATGGTAAACTATGACAGTGGAGAAGTTCTTGGGAAGTTTGGTAGCGATGGAAATGCACCTAATAACTTAATCAATCCAGAAGATATTGTAGTAAATAAGGCAGGGAACGTTATAGTGACGGATTATGGCAACGATTGTTTGAAAATGTTCGATTCCAACGGGAAATTCTTGAAGATTTTGATAGGGAGTGGGAATACAGATAAAGATGGATACGTGTGTGGTCCCCATGGAATCACCATGGATAAAGAAGAAAATTTGTTGGTATCCAGTAACCATAAAGTACAAATGTTTAATAGCGAAGGTGTTTTCATCAAAAGAATAGATAAAGATGACGATGGACTCTATCCTCCAGTTGGGTTATCTGTCATTTCGTATCATCCAAGAAAAGTTGCTGTTGCTAACCAGCAACCAAATGATATCAAAATATTTAATTATTAAAAAACAAATAAAAATATGAAAACTATATAAATAATATATTAATACACAAAGCACCCGGCTTCAATAATCGTAGCAAAAAAAAAACACCAAAAAACAACTAATGTACTAATTTGCATTAATACTTTTTGATATAAAAATACAGTAACGCCTTAATGCGTTATGTTACAAAGATTAATCATTAAGTCGAGCGGCACAGCGGTTTTGGGCTTTCAATCGGGACTCAGATCCAGACCAACGCTGTTCACACTACTTGTATCGTGGCATGACACTTTATCTACCATTGCCTCCTTACCACATGAGTATAAATAGTACATACGTGGTAGGAGGTAAATGATCCGGAATGAATCTGGTAGTGCTGAATTACACAAATAAATCGGAATACTCCATTAAATTAACAATTTAAATAAAAATATGGTCGACTTTCAAATATAATATCATAAGGTAATTGTTTAGGGAATTTTGTGATTGAAAGCAAAAGTTGTTTTGATTGATTAGTTCACGCGTATTAGTATCAAATGAAAGTTGTAAAATGCTTTCCGGACTCTTTCAAATACACAGCCATAAAATGGTTTTGTACAAAAATTTATTGATACGATTTACATTATGAAAGAAAAAGACATTCCATGTAAAGTTAAAAAGCTAATTTAACTTCATAATTAAAGTTTCTTGAAATAATACATTAATTGAAGTCTCGTTAGAGGATAAATTTCATTTTTTATCAATTATTTTAACTGATATGGTATCAATCTATAAAGGCCAACTCAGACAGTGTCGGCTGACGCAGCCCGACCCGATTTATCGTCGGGGACAGTCTTAAGCCGTCGTGAGAAATATTAAACATGTTTAATATTCTACGACGCGACTGCCCCCGACGCACACCATCGCATCTGCGTTTAACTCACACAGACCCGACGCAACAACAAATCGCATCGGGCTGCGTCGTACGACGCTGTCTGAGTTGGCCTTTATGGCCAGATTTACAGTAGTTCCTCTCCAGAAAAAAATTTGAGCTGTTGTGGCTGTAGGCCTTCCTACATATTGATCAGAATCATAACACTTATGGGATCATAGTGGAAATAGTTTTAAATTGTCTTACCAAAAAAAAAAAAAAAAGAACCTGCTGACAGCCTCATGTTTGATTACACAAAGAAGCAGTGGTATATCTAGAAGTCTTGAAATGGGGGTGCTGATGGGGGGGAGGGCTCGATGATCAGTTGAGGGGCGCTAACTCGCAAAATAAGAAATAATGGATAAATGAATGAATGAATGAATGAAAGAATGAAAAATGAATGAAAGATTGGAACAGTTTCATATAGGAAATACTTAAAGTAGTTTTCTCTTACAAATTGTTAACAAAATGAAATTTACAATAATAAATGTTTTCCATGCTTGAGTAGCTACTACATCATAAGTGCCTAATTAACAGAGTTGTTGATAACATTTTGTATTGTTTCCCTATTCTTAATTGCAACTTGTTAACTTTGGACTACAATAGTGAATGTTATAAGCAGTTATGAAATTGCACAAATGCATTATTTTTACCAAAGTGTAGACAGATTAAACAAATGGAAATTGCCAGATTACCATAATGATTTTTTCAATAATTGCTAAAAAAAACCATGATTATTGTAGAAGTTATTGATTTCTTTGTTGATGGTTATTGTAATTACCAGACAAACCATGAGGATTTCTTAAAAGATGTTTTATAAGTTATCAGTGTCTTTTACATATTTCATAATAAATCATGATGATTCTAGTTTTTTTACCATCAATCAATCAACAATGATTTGCATAGCACCAATATTGACTTTAGAATGCAATGTTCGGTTGCGCTATGACAACAATAAAAGGTTTTGCCACGTAAAACATAATAATAGCAACATATTAACAACTTCATGAAGCAGTTGAGGGCTGAGATTGAGGGCGTGTGTTTGCTCCTTGTTCTAATGCTGTAAAGAGAGCACTACCGAGCTCTTCCTCTTCGTACGACCATGACACCAACAAATCAGTTCCTTCTTCTGTTGGCTCACCTGCAGACTATAAAAATCCAAAACATATTAAATTAGTTAGAAAATAAAAAATACATGTATATTGTTTTGAGAAATGTATGTCAGAGTATAAATAAAATACACCAATTTCCACTAACTCACCCCACCCAACCTTAACTCACACATATGCACCCCTATATGTATCTCACCTTAATGAGTACAGATCCAATCATTATTGAGCCATCTGCCATTAGCTGAACATTCTCCCCAGAAAACTTTCTAAAATACAAAGACAGTTTCATTAATATCTGAATACCGTAAAACCTCGAATTGAAGCCCAATGGGCTTAATCTTGAATTGAAGTCCGCCTCTTCAGTTTGCAAAATTAGCCTCGAAATTTCAAGATAGCATAAGCTTCTTTTCGACTACATAAACTGTACATGAATTTCAAAGAAACAAAATAAATTAAAAAAACATGCTTGGTTTATACAGTAGTTTAGGTGATTTAGTGCCGGTTAATACACTCTGTGATACATATTGATGTTACAATGGCCCTATTTATTGTTTAATAGTACTAATTGCCAAAATTTACAGCATTCATTTTGAAAAGAAGCACCCCCCTCTTTACTTTGCAAAAGTGGCCTCGAAAAGAAGCCCATCTCAAAAAGAAACCCATCTCGAAAAGGACCCATACAAAGTTCGCAAAAAAAAAGGAGCCCAGAGCTTCAATTCGAGGTTGTATGTTATTAAATGTGTTTAAAAAATGAGGTAAATACCTAATAAGGTTCAGTGTAAAATAAAACCTTGCCTTTATTTATTCCTTATAACATAAATTTAGGGTGTACAGTATGCTGAAATTTCTGCTAGGCTCAACTCTTAGATATTGTTGTTAAGGATCCAATATAACGTTAGTCATTTGTAGATAAACATGGTTGCGTGTGCAGTTGTAGATGTAAACTTGCGTGATTGTGGGGCATGCAGTTATTCCTAGCACCACCTATTAAATAACACGTTCTGATTGGTCCGTTTTTAAGGTTGATTGAGGCTCCAGAAAGATCTTTGTATTATACATCCAACAAATTTATTGATTGAAAATATTTTTATATATTATTAATATAAAATTATGTCTACTGGAACCTTAATATATAATTTTTATATTATTATTGATGTGTTGTTACCTTTTAATCCTTTTGTGTAGTGTTTGCATACTCATCTGTGGGATTGTGATATTGGACGAGAACCTAATTTCATGCTCCTCAATGCCCAGCTGTTGCATCACAACATTTGCATCTTCAACCTCAAGTTTCTACGCAAAATTTAAGAAAAACTTGATAAGAACAATGTTATCAATTTTTTGTTAGTTTACTTCAAGTCGAAGAAAAAAATTATACTTTTCTTTATGTTATATGGTTTTACACTCACCAGGCAAATAAATAAATGAAATGAAATATCATTTGTTTGTCTCTGTTGCCATTTCTTTGTACTAATGACGTGGACTGAAACTGTTACCATTAATAAATAAAGCACCATTTTATGTTTTTTAATAGATGGACAAATTATTTTAAATAATGGATATTAAATAAAAAAAGTTAAAGAAACTTACATCATTCTTCATCATCAATATACCATGCATTGTCTTCACTTTTTTGCCCTCTAATGGTTGTGACTGTAATCCTAATATGAAAAAGAAAAAAAAAAATCAATTAAACTATGAACTTCATCATTCTCTTCATCATCTTCCTCATCATCATCATCACCACCATCAAAATCCATGGACGTAGGCTGTGGGGTGCAGCTGCACAACATGTCAGCAAATTAGTTCCACTATGTGTGGGTTAAAATACTAAAAATGACATTAGGTTTCATTAGAAGTTCTGCATTGTCCTTTTTTGCACCTCCAAGCCAAAAAACCAGCCTTCGCCCTGACATTATCACTATCTGTGTTATCGCCGCCATCACCACCGTCCCCATCATCATTGTCATTATAATCAATTTCACAACCTACCACTTATAGCTGAACTCCTCTTCAACAATCCTAAGGAAATGTCAGCTTTGATGTTACACTTTGTTGGTATCAAAGCTGTCTCACCGTTAGCTGGCATTAAGCACTCAATGCCTGTAAAAATATAAGTGATGAAATACAAAATAATGTTATATATAAAATATTATATAATCTTCACTTATTTCTGTTCCACAGTTTATAAAATATATTGATTGATTTAGTTCAATGTTTTATAAAATATAATATATCATAACATAACAATATAAAATGAATTTTAATGTAATAAAATATAATAAAATACAATATAACATAATACGATAAAATGTACATAACATAACATAAAATGGCATAGCATTGCATAACATAATATTAAATTATTAAAAATTATTATTAGTATTAGTATTATTGCTACTTTTAATAAGAAATAAATAGGGATTGCTTACTGAATTGCTGTTGAATTTTCTGTTTCAAGAACTGCATTTTCTTTGCTTCTCCGTGAACAAGTAGAACATGTTTGGGTTCACATTGCTGGATAAGTTGCATAATTCCTTTGGCGTCTGCGTGTGCACTGAATGACATGTACTGCACTGACAACTTCACCTCCAACTTGGAAAAAAATTAATCAAGAAATCATTATTGTCAATCTTCAATAGAGCACTAAGAAGTACTTATATCATCAATGTTTAATTTTAATATATTTATCAATGAAAGTCACTTATCATGATAAAACAAATAAAGCCTGTCCAGACTATCAAACATATAACATGCCTATATATGGTCATGATGACATCACATCATTACCATATATAGACATATCATGACTGTATATGGGCATACAACAGTTATGATGACATCACATCATGACCATATATAGACATATAATGACTGTATATGGGCATACAACAGTTATGATAACATCACATCATGACCATATATAGACACATCATGACTGTATATGGGCATACAACAGTTATGATGACATCACATCATGACCATATATAGACACATCATGACTGTATATGGGCATACAACAGTTTTTTCATTAAATAAAATTTGAGTGTGGACAGAGCTAAAAGGATAAACTATAGATCAAATATTTTCCTGGATACCCAGGAAACTTTCAAGGTTTATTTCTGTTAGGATAAACCTTTAAGATAAAATCTTAAATTTGAGTTAATTTACAATATAATAAAACTAATTTCTAAAATTGAGTATTAGAAGATATAATCATTTCCTTTTGCATATTTAGTTTCAATTTCAGTTTTGCAAGGCTTTTGTCTCATTTCAAAACTGTGTAAAAATTGTAGTTTAAAACATGTAAATATTAGTCTAGTACACTCAGGAAGTCATTTCAGTATCTGGATAATCATTTGCAGTCAAATTTATTTCAACTTTCGGTTCATTGTCTTATGTCATTACAGATTTCTGTTTGAATTGTGCCAATAACAACAATAAAATAAACAAATGCTTTTTAGATTTTTATCGTTATCGTCATAGTGTAAACAGGCCTTCAGTTCCTTTATGAAGTTTTAATTTCCTTAAGCACATTTTCACTCAAAGAGTTATTAATGCTTGGTAAGCCAGAGGGGCCAATAGAGGGCCACATCAGGCCACTTTCACCACCCTTTTAGAGTGGTGTACGTTGCTACAGATTTATGGTGAGTTAGTTAGAGTAGACATATTTTAACCCTGAGAAAAAAATCCTACTGTGAAAGTGTTTGAACCTAGGAACCTGGGACTGGTAACCAAGTATCTTAAGCACCAAGTTATTCAACTCAACTAGTAGAGACCTTATGAAGCTAATAATCAATTTAAGGAATGATTTACCCAAATTGTTTCAATAAATGTCTCATTTTAAGTTGATAAACTATTTAATGCTTTAAATGTCCAGTTCAATACCGTAAAACCTCGAATAGAAGCCATGGGATTCTTTTTTTTTCGTGACCTTTAGATGGCCTTTTTTTCGAGGCCACTTTTGCAAAGCAAAGAGGGGGCTTCTTTTCAAAATGAATGCTGTAAATTTTGGGAATTACTACTAAAAAACATTAAATAGGGCCACTACAACATCAGTCTGTATCATAGAGTGTATTAACCAGCGTTAAATCACATAAACTACTGTATAAAAAAAGCGTGTTTTTAATTTATTTTGTTTCTTTAAAACTTTATGTACAGTACAGTGTATGTACTATCTCAAAAAGAAGCCCATGCTATCTTGGGGCTTCTTTTCAAAATGGGCTTCTTTTTCGAGGCTACTTTTGCAAACTAAAGAGGGGGCTTCAATTGGAGGTGGGCTTCTTCTCGAGATTAAGCCCATTGGGCTTCTGTTTGAGGTTTTACGGTATTTTAATTGGAATTTTTTATGGGTTTTCCACAGATTGCATATTCAGGGAGAATAACAACTTCCTGGTATATTTATAACAACACATAGTATTAACAATGTTGCTATAACATTTAAAACAAAACAACGAAAACAAAAGTTCTCTCAGAGAAACTAAACAAAACTCAAGGAACATTCCACAAACACTACTTACAACCTGTCGATTTTCCAGCTCTATTTTTTTCTGTCCATTTAATATTTTGTGACCAACAGTTCCTGCAACGCAATATCCAGGCATGATAACCATGTTTTTTTCTTCCCCAGCCCACTGCTTGAAGATGGTGAGTGAGAGGCCTGAGTGCAACATCCCTGGGGTAGCAAACACCACCATGGGGCCTGGGTTACTGATGTATGACCTGTCAAAAGGCTGAAAGGCAAATTTTTCAGAAGAAATTAAAAAATGCTATTAGTATCACTTATTTGATTTTGCAATGGAAAAGAAACTACAGGCGGAGATGGGGTTCTTTCACAGAATGGTACAAATCACCTGGACAACTCATACAGCAAATACAGAGGTACTTAAAAGAGCAGGAACTACACTTAGTTTGATGGCAAACAACACAACTAGAAACAATTTTAAAAAGTGATGATGAGGTGGTGGATGATGCAAAGAGGATGATTATGGTAATGAAGGAGGAGGAATTAACAATAAAAATGATGTTTATGATGAAACTGACAAGATAAAACTATAAAGCATGTATTTTTATATCATTATAGTTAACATAAAATTAATTTAACAGTGCCATGTCAAATTTAAATAGATACATAAATAAAAATTAAATAACATGAAAATATATTACCTTAATGTGCTTAAATTCAAACATATTTCTTTGTACAAATGTCTTCTTTATCTTCTGGTTTGTCCATGTGATGAAAAGTTTGTAGTAATGATTCGCCTATCAGTAGACAAATAAACAACGTTAATGCAAAGAATATACAGTAGGCTACTGGTAACTGAATAGTGAGATAAGAGAAGGCATAATTATTATATATATGTATGTTATATATGTATATGTATGAGCTTTCCTCTTGTAGATTTTATTATTAAAATTTAAAAAAATAATTCTGTGCATTATAATTATATTCCTTAATGTTGGGATATGATTCCCACTCAAGCCACTTTTTGTCCTGCAAATAAAATAAGATGGCAAAAGTATTATTATAGTCATTCTTATCAAAATTATGGATAATATATAAATTAGAAAAATTACTTTTTCTGTTAGACCTGTTGAAAAGTATACTGGTACTTTGAGGTTCATTCTCTCCCTGAAAAAAAAAAATTAAATTAATTTTTTAAATTTTGCAATAAATCATCAAAGCATAAGTTGGGTGACACTTTTTAGACAAATAAATGGACTAAAACATGTTCACTTGAAAATACAATACGGCTTACTGACAGCTAGCTTTCACTGATGGTGGCAGCGCTACAGCAGCTACGGCGCAGCAGCACCCCCACCCATATTGGGGAAGCTAGGAGAGATTCGTCGAGAGATAAATAAAAAACAATATTACAAATGCTAACAGTTAATCAATTTATTAAATATTATTTAGTCAGTTTATCAATTTATTAAATATTATTTAGACAATTTATCAATTTATTAAATATATTATTTAGACTATACTTACCAGAACGTTTCAATTAGTATGCATAGCTCCTGTGCTCTTCCAAGTGCAAACACAGGGATCAAAACTTTACCCCCCTTCTCAATGCAATCGTGTACTTTCTTCAAGAAATCCCTCTCTCGACACCTGTTGTGCGTACATAATTAGAAAAAGACATATTTTAAATGACGAATGTAAAAACTCTATAATTAAGTAATCACAGTGTGATTCATGTTTTTCTTACAAATAAAAAATAAAAAATTCCTCATTGCAAGATTTTACATATATGATATTATAACAAAAATAAAATGATAAAAAAAATGAATTTGTGGAGTGAAAAACAAGCATTCTTTTTAAAAAAAAACCATATTTATAGAGGGCGACCCTTCCAGCGTATCCTAGAAGGTTGGCTGATATTCAGTGGCTCTCTTTAAATAAACGATATAATGTGATGCTTGATCAGTGAAGTCTTGTTATGAGGCTTAGGGAGTGAAGTTGTTTTTCAGTTGTGAGAAAAAGTCTTGCAATCACAGGAATTGAACCCAGGACCATGGGATTAGAAGGCAAGCACCTTAACATCTAAGCTAATCTACTCCATTGAAAAAATACCAAAATATATATAACTGGGCATAGTAAAGAACAAAAATTTGCTCCTACTGTATACCTTTTTGAATCACGGATTGTTGTAGCATATGTTGATTCAGTTATCAAAAGATCTGGCCGGCATTTATCTATTGATGCAGCTCTACAAGAATACAATTTCATAATGCAGTTATGACATTTTGTTTACATTATATCAAATATTTATTTCAGTTTTTTTTTAGGTTTGTGTATGTATATAGACTTGATTTGACAATACTTACCCTAAATGTCTGTCAGGAGTCATATTGTAATCACCCTGTAAGAGTAAAAAATTCAAACAAGCTAATTTAAATATAGTAGATTAAATTACTTATTAAAACCATCACAATGTAATAATATGCTGGTTAATAAACAATTTATAGTGTTTTCCATTAAATATACTAACATAGTAATTACTTTTATAGTGCACAAAGATAATTTTGATAAGTAACTTGAGATGTACTAACTGTGTAAACAAAGGAATGTTCCCCAACTTTAACATGGAACATCGCAGCACCCAACACATGACCTGCATAATAGGCTTTAATCTCCAGCTCATCATCAACCTGTGACAATAATTAACATGTTTTATAAATTACTACAGTAGACAGACATGTAAAGTACGTAGTTAAATATGTTACAGTGCACAACACCTTGCGATACTGTAGATTGCTTTTAATGACAATCGCTTAAACTGGCAAACAACAATCAGCAAATGGTCTAATTGATTTAGAGGCTTTATAAACATTTTTATTAAAGCTTAAAATTATTAGAATACAAATGAAATTTCAAACTAACACAGTAGTAGATTATCTTTACTTTAGGATAATATAAACAATTAAAGGAGAATGTTAAGGAAATACTTCCCAACAAAAACATATACCTTACCTTAATAGTCTGATGTAAATTGACTGTGATGACCTTCTTCATGCAGTCTTTTATCATCTACAATAACAAATAATTTATCCAAAATTTACATAGTCAAAAAAATGTTGCACAAATAATCAATTATGATTGAAATTCATGAAATCTGCGAAAGTCCAGCTGTCTATTAGCTGTTTATTATTTTCTTACCCCTGATGTGAAGAAGTTTGTCTCGCCCTTCTTTTCTACAGATATTTTCCTATAGTCCTCCTGAGGGTTAAAATAGCAGATTAAATAATTTGATCTATATGTAAGTTGATATTAAGTGAATATATCTGCAGTGTTGATGGTTAGGCCTACATATTGTTGTTGATAGAAGTTTACTAATTATTAATGCCTCATACTAAAGATGGATGGATGAATATCACAATTAAAAATGAAATAAATCTCACCACTCATAATGAGACTTAGTTTATGAAGCAACACCTAAGTTTAATGTCTCTGTAGGATCAGAACTACAATATTAAACATAAATTGTGTTTATTATCTGAGATGTTAAATACTTCCCTCAACATGCTTACCAAGAGGATGGGACAAATAGCCTTTGTGGGAGATGTCATGTAGATTGGACCATCATATCCAACCATCTCACTCATATACGGAAGTGATCCACAATGATCCAGATGAAAATGACTGGAAAATGACACAAGAAGAGAACTTCCCTATTGTAATTTAATAATATTTATTTAATAAGCCTAAGTATCTATTAACTTTAAATAGTAATAACAATAATATTAATTTTATCACTAAAAATAACAATAGCAAAGTGAAATGAAAGTGTGAATAAAGCATGACATAAAATAAAAAATATAGACAAATTTAAAAGCCACTGATGAGAGCTAAGTAATTGCAGCCGTGCACATCCTTCATTACTCTTTAGTCTGTACCGTGAATTTTAATACTTCTTTCCACCTTATAATTTTAAATCATACCTGATTATGACGCAGTCCAAATGGTCAGTCAATTTCCCGGACTTGGTGATGTATGTAAAATCAGGAAAGCGTCTCTGTAAGACAAAATATTACGTTCTTTTTAACATGTTCATTGCCGGCGATAAGTATATTTGTCCGACAGGGTGTTGCTGAGGGCATTCTAGATTTATTACTAAATTGTTATACATTGTCGAACCACAGACTTAATGGCTGATAGTTCGGGGACTTAGATACACCTAGACGATAACGTACTAATAACGTATGTATGTTTGTTGTGTTATGTTGCCGGCAGTACACTCGATTGCACGAGTGGGGGTGCAATCAAGTGAACATATACCAACCCATGCTAAAATCGGACGAGAAAACTCGCACTTGACAGAGGCAATAAAAAGCACTGTCCCATTGCCAGCGAAGATTTACTCGTCCCCTAATATTTTTGTGCCAATTTAGTAGACACACCATTTTGGTGATATATGACTAGATAGAATTTCCAAAAAGTATGTATGTACATGTATTGAAACTTGTTCTGGCACACAGGTAGGAACCTAAAAAAAAGGTCTGGCAGTGAACGTGTTAAATTTAATCCTGATGAACGGCCGAGCAGCCACATACTGATTGAAATTAGTTCCGATATTTATTGATTTTTCATTTTTTCCTCTCTGTAGACAGCGCATAAATTTTATTACGCATTATATCAAGACTAATGACATTATATTATTTTGAAAATGTCCAGGTGGACTTTTAAATATGCCTCCTTTTTTTTACACAGGGAATGTCCAAATCCTAATTTGACATAAAGTATATCATATTCTTATTAAAGAAATGATGAAATATATATATCACAATTAAAACAGCATTGATTTATAAAGTAATCATAACTATTTGACCTACATCATCATTGTAGCCCATATGCATCCCACAATCCAACATCACATTCTTGCCACCAATTGTCACAAGAATACAACTTCTTCCGACATCTGTAAGAATTAAAAAAGCAATTCATTTTCAAAAAAAGTATTAGATACTGTAATAATGATGAGAGCAAATACTCCATCATCATCAGTAATCATCATCAAGCATCCTCATACTATAACCGCCACCACTCATCTTACTACCAGCGGGCTTCATCATCTTTATACTCATCACTATAATATTTTGTAGCAATTAAACTAATAATAGCCGTGGATATACAGTTCTGCCAGTTATACGTAAATCCAAGGTGTTGATTGGTGGAGCTGGCTTGACCATAACCTTAAATATCCATATTATGTAGTGTTTTATTATTACTTTTGTTGCAAATTTCCATAAATTAACAAATACATTTGAAATTCAGAATAAAAAAAATATCAGTGTTGATATTTGAGGTCAACATACCTTGGCCTGCACCTGTAAAATAAAAAGAGAGAAAATTATTTAGGTGACAGTCCCAAAAAGATAGGCAAAGCCCAGATAGTATAGTAAGGACTGCGCGGGGAATAATATTATTATTAGGCCTATATCCTCCGCTCAAATATTTGGCCTAGTAAAATCCTAGAAGACCAATGCAATGAAGCAGAAATTACGATTCCGCGCACCTACTTTTCCTAGTGATTTCCACGCAAATTTTGGAGATACTGTATCCTCTGGGGCAAAGTTATATTTGAAGATTGGAAAACTGTACTGTATACCCAAGGGAAAGGCCCAAAGAAAATAAAACAAAGAGAGAATTTATTATCATTGTCTACTTTTCACACGGTTGCGGCGCCAGCGGGGGTGGGGGCAGCAGGGTCTTAAGCCCCCCCCCCTTTCAGACAGAGCTCGTTGGGCAGTTGGACAAAAGAAGAAAAAAAAAAATAGGCCCACGCCAAGCCAACACACGTCTGTCACAGTCTGAGAGTGTCATTTCTGGCCATCCAGAAGTTCCTATTCTTAAAATAATCTCATTTGGGAGGGGGACGGAACCCCCTCTCAACCCCCTTCCCCCAGCTGGAGCCTACGAGCTCAATTCCCCCTGTTGGAGATCAATTCCTGTGATTCTCAATGTGTTGCTGCTTTGTTAGTTAGGGGCTCTCGACGAATAGGACTGACATAATCGACGCTACACCTGGCCTACCCTAGGCCTAGAGGAACTTTATTTAACAATGCATGGAGCTAACTTACCCAAGGGTACGACTCGAATATCGGACATCCTGTAATAAGGCAATTAGGCTTAGTATTAATAGTGGAATTAACTTTTCATACACTGCAAAAACAAGCGTATTTATATTCACCGTACATATTTTTGTTTTGATGAACAACCACCGGGAACTTAAAAATAGCCCGACCTCTATTGGGTAGTCGAGTCACAAGAAGATAAAATAGTCGTGTCGGTACTGTCGTCGTCGTCTTACGATCCCTTCTGTGTTCCCTGAAAATGGAAGCAGAATTTCGTGTTCTTGAGTTCTACAGTGGAATTGGTGGCATGCATTATGCATTACAAGGTACACATAAACCTTGTAAACCTGTATATTCCGTTATCTTTCATATTGATGATTATTTAAATGTATATTATTCAATTGGCCCTAACTAGCTAGGCTGCTCTATGTCTGGGTCTTTGAAGACCTGTCCAGTCCACAGAGCCGCACAAGTGAATATTTATATTTTTAAGTTCAGGAAGTGATCAATCATTTTTTAGGCCAAGGAGGCTTAAAAGAGTAGACCATCAAGGTCATCATTTTTATCTGTTTTATAAAAGTAGGCATATGCACTGCTGTCTTCCCCTTCCCCCACAGTGGCTGTTGCGCTGCTGACGGGCATTCCCCTGTCTGTATGTGGGACAGACCTGGCTGGACCCCAAGTCGTCCAATGCCAGGACAAGGTCGTCAGATCAAAAATATAAAAAGAATAATTTACCCATCCAAATAGCATTATTTTAATTGCCAATCCTTAATATAGTTGTCGAAATAGCAGAATTTGGGCCATACTAAGAAATAAAAAACACCGTGAAAACTACCAGGAATATTTTATTCCAATACACGGACTGAGGCTCTAGTCATATCCCCTTTTTGGTTTGAGCCCCCTGTCAGACTTGACAGACTGGTCGGACCTCTTGTCAGCAAATTTCCGGAGCCACTGCTTGTAATCGTGTGAAAATGATGACTCCCTAACCTAACTATTAAAGCCCCATTCCTGGTAAAATATCAGTTGTTAAGAAAAATCTGATTTTTATATATAAAGATTTATAAATATAATACAAAATTGCTAATTTAACTGAATTTAAACATTCCTAAACATGAACAAAAATGAAAAATAAGACTGAAATTTTATTTTTGTGTTCCACACAAAACATAAACAAGGATGAATTTTTTATGTTTGATTTTGTGATAGGTCTGCGAAGAAATATAGTAGGCACCGGAAACATTAGCCTATCCAACACTGCTAGGCTAGGCCTAGCCTTCCCTTGATTTGGGTTCTGTTATCAGATATAAAAATGGCTGACACTATAGTTTTCGTTGCTAGCATTAACACTACCACCTCTGAATTTGCCTAGTAGCGAAGAAAATGGTAATCTCTTGGTGAGAAATAGTCTCTATTTCTTATTTGTTTATCCTTTTGTGTACATCTAAAATTTATGCCAATATTTTTCCATGGTGTATAATAAGTAGAGTAATGCATATGCATTTTTTCTAAAAAAATTCTTTTTTTAGTGAATTTTTGCCTGGAATGGGGCTTTAAAAGTTAATTAATAATATTATGCCTGTGACTATAGAAAGTGTCTTGTTAAATGTGAGTGCAATGTATTCTTGTAGACAGTGGATTGAATGCAAAGGTTGTGGCGGCACTTGATATCAACACCGTGGCCAATCAGGTTTATCAACATAATTTCCCAAGGACCAAGATACTACAAAGGAATATTGAGGTAACTACAGCTGCCGGGCGGCATAATCATTTATGTCTCTTTCTCAGGAGGGAAAGGTAGGGCAGGGACTAGCATCAGTGAACACCACCCCTAGTAGTAAATTTAGCAGTACACAGGAAGACAATCCCTATCTTTTTCTGAAGACAATCTACACCTGCGAACTCTGTGTGTCTCACGCATGAGCATCTACTTTTTACATCTCACGTTGTATTATCTCGCGCATCATAAAAATATAATAAAAGATAAAATATATAGGCGAATTATGCTCTAAACTTAATAAAAACAATGTGGATTTGTCATTAAAATGTGGATACAGGCCATATAATACATTTAAACGAAGTTTTACCGACTGACGACTGTAATTGGTAGTAGTTCAATCACTACAATTTTTTTTAAATAACATACAGGCGCTGTATTTTGTGATTTTACACAGAGGATGCTATAAATTTAATTTGTTTTTTGTCTCAAGCATCGGACGCCAGCAAAGTTGGCAGGTAGAACAATTGGTAATCAGTCAAACAACTGACCAATTTGAACAGGCCATTGGTATAAGCTTGTGCTACAGACACACATGCTGTCCTACTGACAGATGTGTACAGTACATTTACACTACCATTTTTTGAACCTTAGCAACAATATAAAAGGGGTGGGGCTTAGTGAAATGGTCCAAAATGTTAATTTGAGACCAATGGCTTTAACATCTTCTATATTGGTGGTTTAGTCCACAAAATGTGGTTTTGCCTCCAGTTTCAACCAACTCGGCTATTAACTGGTTGCTATATACTTTAAATCCTAATGTAAATATGTTTTTGATAATTTATAGAGTACTATAGTGCTACGTCATGATACCACATGATACTACTTCGTTGCTATCGGCGACACAAAATGCGTTCAACTGACGCCATTTTCTCCACTGACAAACAATTGATACCAATTTCTAACGTAATTATTAAAAAGTTGTATCTTAATTTTTTTTTGTAAATGTTAATTGATGATTAAATGTGTGTTCAATAACTAATATAATGTGAGCTTTTTGTGATTTTAGTACATTATTAGGTTTTAAAATGCCTATTCCAGAAAGCCTATTCTAAACCATTAAGATTATGAAGTCATTCAGGCGTAATGAACGGTAATCAAGGTCCAGAGGGCGCCACCTGGTGTTGTGATGACACGACTGTGGTACTGTACTCTATACAGTAGTTTGTGCAAAACAAATTGAAATCTTGAATATGTGTTGTGATTAAGTCTCCAAATGAATTGTAATCAAAATATCAAAGTATTACCCATATTATGTTTTTAAATATTAATTCTGATTTCTCCTTTTTTTTTTCTAATGAAATAATCAAGTCGATTAGTCTAAAAGAATTCAAGGCTTTCAATGCTGATATGTTTCTTATGAGTCCACCTTGTCAGCCATTTACTCGGTAAGATAGGTTACTTCAATTATTTCTATAGATATTTTGTGTTCACTACTTAAGTGCAATCAACTGCATGTTATTTTTATTGCTTTTAACTGTAAGATGGTGCACAGATTGTTGATATACTTGTGTGTTTATTTATTTCTTTGTATATTTTCTTTGCCTTATTAGGAGTGGTAAACAAGGAGATAAAGATGACCCTAGAACAAAAAGTTTCTTTTACATCTTGGATATACTTGGAAGGTAATAAGCGTAATTGTCTCACTGGTACCTCTTACCACAGATAGGAATTAACACTTGATAATTATGAAATTGGATTTAGGTGTGGGCTTACACCCAGGACCAGAAAATGCAAATAGTAGTGAGCTAAATATTAATCTTGATTCTGCTGAACAATAAAGCATTTATTGTTGTTTTTTTTAAACCTTTTTGTTTTCAGGCTAGAAAAACAACCATCGCATATACTTGTAGAGAATGTCAAAGGTTTTGAAACTTCAGAAACAAGGTGAGCAAAATGTATATTTTTGTAAAATGTAAGTGCTTACAGCATAGGTATGCAAGCTTTTAATATTGAAGTGGTTGATGGCTAATGCTCCTGGCCACATATCGTGTTGGGATGCTTAAATCATGATAAAATATTTTTTTTAAATAAATAATTATGGAATTGTAAAACAATAACCAATTTAATGTAAACCTTTATAACAAGTTTTTATTTGCTCTCTTCTTTTCTAGAAACCACCTTGTACAAACTTTATCATCTTGCAACTACACTTATAAGGTTTGATTCAACTAATTATTTAATTTTTGTTATAAACTTTATCAATTTAAAATTAATCTCCATATTATTGCAAAAGTCAAAAGAAAATCAAAATATTTTTTTGAAATTTATTGTTATTTTTCTAGGAGTTTCTTTTGTCTCCTTGTCATCTTGGCATTCCAAACCAACGACTTAGATATTTTCTTGTGGCTAAACAACGCCCTCAATTGTTTGTTCCTGAATACAGATTAGAAAATGGGCATTCGTTGAATGAATACATTATAAAGGATTGTGGGAGTTGTCCAGCAAATCATGATGCACATGAAGGGAAACAGAATGTTGGGACAGAACAACAGAATGTAGCGACTGAAAAACAGAATGTAGCAACAGAACAACACAATGTAGAGGTGGGGAAAGATAATAATGTAGCAATGGAAAATCTGAATGTAGCAATTGATAAACTGAATGTAGCAACAGAAACACAGAATGCGGAAAAAGGGAATGGACTAACAGAAAAATTTCAAGAACATTCTGATGAATATGTTGTTAAGGAACACTCCTCCCAAGTTGCTTTGGGAACATTTAAATTCAAATTTAATCATGACACATTCTCAAATTATGTTTCAAAACGAGCTATTAAAGATTATTTAGAAGATTTGACAGGTATTGAATGTAAAGAACATCTGATTGACAACAAGATTTTGATAAGATTTGGTAAAGTGATGGACATTGTGACAGAAGATTCAGCAAGAACAATGTGTTTTACCAAAGCGTAAGTTTACATTGTTCTTAAGCATTATAACTTACTCCTGAAAGATTAATATTCCATTTAATAAACTCAATGCACAATTCAGTCTAAATCTACATTTACACTAGACACAATGACACGATAAAAATGTGTTCAGTGTTGAAGAATATAAACGATGTGATGATGATTTACCAAAGGGTAAGTTAACATCATTGTTAAGCATTATAACGTTGCTGCTAAAAGATTTTTTTTTTTAAGATATTAAAATATTTCATTCAATAAACTCAATACACAATTCATACTAAATCTTCATCTACACTAGACACAACAACGACACGATAAAAATGCTTTCAGTGTTGAAGAATATAAACAACATGATATTGATTTACCAAAGCATAAGTTTACATCATTGTTAAGCATTATAACTTGCTGCTGAAAGATTAATATTTCATTAATAAACTCAATACACAATTCATACTAAATCTTCATTTACACTAGACACAACAACGACACGATAAAAATGCATTCAGTGTTGGAGAATATAAACGATGTGATGGAGATTTACCAAAGCATAAGTTTACATCATTGTTTTAAAGCATTATAACTTGCTGCTGAAAGATTAATATTTCATTAATAAATTCAATGCACATTTCATACTAAATAACTTACACTAGACACAACATCGACACGATAAAAATGCATTCAGTGTTGAAGAATATAAACAACATGATATTGATTTACCAAAGCATAAGTTTACATCATTGTTAAACATTATAACTTGCTGCTGAAAGATTAATATTTCATTAATAAATTCAATACACATTTCATACTAAATAACTTACACTAGACACAATGACACGATAAAAATGCGTTCAATGTTGGAGAATATAAACGATGTGATGATGATTTACCAAAGCATAAGTTTACATCATTGTTAAGCATTATAACTTGCTGCTGAAGGATTAATATTCCATTTAATAAACTCAATACACAATTCATACTAAATCTTCATTTACACTAGACACAACAACAACACGATAAAAATGCATTCAGTGTTGAAGAATATAAACAATGTGATGGAGATTTACCAAAGCATAAGTTTACATCATTATTTTAAAGCATTATAACTTGCTGCTGAAAGATTAATATTTCATTAATAAATTCAATACACATTTCATACTAAATAACTTACACTAGACACAACAACGACATGATAAAAATGCATTCAGTGTTGAAGAATATAAACAACATGATATTGATTTACCAAAGCATAAGTTTACATCATTGTTAAGCATTATAACTTGCTGCTGAAAGATTAATATTTCATTAATAAATTCAATGCACATTTCATACTAAATAACTTACACTAGACACAACAACGACATGATAAAAATGCACTCAGTGTTGAGGAATATAAACGATGTGATAATGTTGTCGTGTCATCACGCCTGGTGTAAATGTAGCTTTATTTGGCATCAGATTAAATTATAATCATAAAATATACAATACATAATGCAATAAACAAATTGATATACGGTACAAGTAAACTTCATATCTAAGAAAAACAAAGCTGGTCCAGATATCCCATGGAAGATTTGACAGAGAAAACATTTCTAATGGGGTCCCAGGAAACAACATATATGCATATATGAATGTTTTGTAGTTAATCGCATTATTCATCGATATATTGAATTTAGTTAAGTTTTCTGATTTTCAATTTGATAAAAAACTTTATATAATTACTTTCCCTGTTCTTTTAGTTATTTTCATTACATGGAAGGTACTGGCTCAGTTTTGCAAATGAACAAAGAATGTAATGTAAGTTAATGCAAATACAAGAATCCTATAATTATGATTTTCATTATAATCTTGCTTTTAATTTGATGGTACGATAATTTTATACTTTTTGTTAAATGCTTAGCCAAATGTTTGTTTAATTTGGATTTACAGTACTTAGTTTTGTGTGCCTTTCTCAATATTTATTTTTGCATGTTTTCTAGTTAAGTATTTTAATCGTTTGTATGCTTACATTGCATTATTTTGTGAACTCACTTGTTTGATCTCTGGGATTGATTTTTTATATTAAATAAATAAAAATGTTTAACAAAAATACATTTGTTGAGGATGTTTTTAAAATTAAGATTAATAAAGGCCTGTTACTGCTGACATTTGATTTGTAATCAAGTAATTGAGCTGGGCAATCATTGACATTTGTTGTTTTTTTTTTAATGAACAGAAATCTGAAGCATTTCTAAGGTTACAGGAGTTCACAGATAATGAATCTGCAAAAGCCGATATTTGGAAAAATTTGAATGTAAGGTTCTTCACTGCCAGAGAAATTGCAAACTTGCATCATCTTCCTGCCGACTTTTGTAAGTACCATTGCAATTATGACTTCCATTTAACCATTTACTTATCACTCCATTCAGCTACTCCTCGCCTCACTTGTTCATTCATGCTTTGGCTCAACCATTTATAGTGGCATATATGAGGGGCATGGGGTGCATCCCCCCTGGACGTATACAATAAATGTTTATAAGGCACATTATCATTGCATATTATGTGCTTTAAAAAAATGTGTCCTTTAATCGTAAAATTTTAGTGTGTATACCACTTTCATAATTCAGTCGGTAGAGTATCCAAATGGTAATCTGAAGGTACTACATATTCAAATCCTTATGGGGGCAATACCTATTTCTGAAACATTTATTATCAACTAAAGTAGTTTGAAATTACTTATATCAACTTATTTTACCAGCTAGCGCCCTCGCAGTTAATTATTGGGCCCACTTAGCCTTTGCACCCTCATTGGGCCCCTCCCCCCTCTCACCACTTTAATAATCCTAGATATGCCAGTGATTATTCATCTATAAATTTATGAATCTGTATAACTGTTCAATAGATTCATTCACAATTTATATATCCATATTAACTTTACCTGAGGTGTTGCATTATTATGTGCGGTTCTTCTGCTATAGTCCTTTCATTTCGGTTCCTTTCCTTAGTTGGTTAGCATAGAATCTTTAGTTGGAATTTCTTTTTTTTTTTCTTATTTTATTTTAGCGCATTGAGACTTCGGTGTAATGCGCTATAGTAAATCCCACTACATTACATTATAGGGTATATGATATCTGTTTAAAATACTGTATAGTACTTGTTAGTTTACTATTTAATAGTATCATATAGCATTTTTATATTACATCTTTTATATTCCATAGCATTCCCGAAGGAAATAACCAGGAAGCAACGGTACCGGTTACTTGGGAACAGCTTGAATTCTCATGTTGTAACAGTATTGCTGAGGTTTATGGCTTGCTAAAACAGCAACTTTATCACTTTACAACATTTAAAGTGCACGCGAGCCAGATGTGTAAACACTGGACCTCCATTTTAAATTCTTATCCGAGAAGGCTGGGTTCTACCAACCAAACCCTGGGCGAGGAGCGGCTCAAACCAGCGCCGATTTAAATTCCGTAGTGAGTGACGCCCCTGCCTTACTATTCGGCCACTCGACTTGCCACTTAATCTTTTTTCAGATCCAAAAAGAAATAACAGGAATTTTTATTGTGCTTAATATGTGAATGCAAATTAGTTTAAAAGAAAAACAGTTTTTTACACCAATAATGTACAATTGTTTATTCATTGTCCAGTGTAGGCCCCATCTATCACCCTCTGTAAAGATAAAACTTCAATCAATAGATATAGTAATAAATAATGATACTTACTCATGTTTATCTTCATAATTAATCATCATCATTATCATCTTCATTGTCATAGTAAAAGACATTTCTGTCAATCTTTTTATGTCTACGGTCTTATCATTTTAAAATAAAGTGAATCTATTATATTACTGAAAAATGTACTATATTTGTTTGGTAATAAAAGATATTTTTTGAAAGAAAAAAGTTGCAAATTTGTTTCATAACATGTATTGCATCTTGACTGACTTACAATGTCAATGTTGGTTTATGGTAAAATTTGAGCAATTTTAATACTTTTAGACACCACACTAGCTTTTGAGTGCTCAGTGTTCTACTCATTATTTAAGTAGAGTAGTGGGCTAAAGATTACCAGTAGCCCATAATAGTCGCTGTCCTACTCATATAGAGTGGCAATTCCGTCCACTAGACAAACATACAGACAATGCTCTACATAAAGTAAGTCTGATTATTATGGAGTGGAGTTGTTTAGTGAGAAATTGAACCCAGGACCCTGGCATTGGAATACAAGCACCCACAAAGCTACAGTCCTCAAATAATTGACAAAGAGGAATGCCCTAACATAGTAGTTTCACTATGTATGGGATTCTTTAAAGTTAATTACTGTACCAGAACTTTTTCCTTTAATTTTCAATCGAAAGCTTTTATTTATATTTTGGCCTACATAGAAAAAGGTTATTCAAATAGGTCTAGTAGATGTTGGTTTTTAGCTCTACAGAACGAAAAACTATAAAATACAATAGTATACAGTCATAACACAGCACATGAGCTACACAATTATGTGC